TCGGCCGTCACGCACTATAATTGGATGTCTGGACCACCAATTTAGAACCGCCCACTGAGGAAGAAATTGTAAGCTGCATCAACTCTATGAAGCGCTTCAAGGCTGCCGGACCCGATGAGGTATCCCCAGCTCTTTTCAAAGACGGTCTGGGCGTCTTAACCCAGAACTAGTGCGCTTGTTCAAGGTAATCTGGGAGGAGGAAAGCGTTCCGGAAGCATGGGGTGACTCGATTATCATCCCAGTGTACAAGAAAGGCACGCGTGGTGATTGTGCCAACCACCGTTATAACTGGTGTAAGGCTAATGCCCGAAGATGTGGTCAATGCAGCCCCTACCGGGTCTGAATCCCACTTGCTCCTCTCTTATACCCTTTTCTCTATCTGGGGTGAGTCGGCACAGTAAAAGAGCAGCTAACAGCCTGCACCCTTCGACAGATCCTACAGCAGAGACATGCGTACAGACAACCGACCATCGCCGTATTCTTGGACTTCATGGGATCATTTGACTCGGTAGATAGACAGGCCCTTTTTGCGACACTACTGCAAAAAGGAATGCCATGCAAATACGTGAATATCATACAGGCCCTGTATGGACAAACGGTGGCCCGAGTGAGGGTGTACAACAAGCTGTCGCCTAGTTTTACAACCATGAGCGGAGTGAGGCAAGGATGCCCACTCTCCCCGTTCCTCTTCAACTTCGTAATAGATACAATCATAGAGGAGTGCAGGAAAGATTCGCCGTTCTCGGGTGTCCGGATTTCTTCTGAAGACACAGTTCTTGATTTAGATTATGCCGACGACATAGTTCTTCTTTTTGAATCACAGGATTCCACTCAGCGGACCCTGGACAACCTACTGCATATTATACCCTCCTTTGGGATGCAATTCGCTCCCTCAAAATGTAAAGTGTTACTTCAGAATATTGTTGCACTAGCGTCGCCCCTTGTGCTGGGAAACGAGGAATTGAGCGTGGTGGATCACTTCACTTACTTGGGAAGTTGCGTAAGCTCGGAGGGAAACCTGAAGCGTGAAATAGATGCAAGAATCGCGAAGGCCAGAGCAACCTTCCATGACTTGAGACATCTTTGGCGTCACAAAGGGATTTCTCTTAAACTTAAGGGACGGGTGTACAGGACCACAGTAAGAGCCGTTCTTCTCTACAGCTGTGAGACCTGGACCCTTCGAGTCGATGATTTCGAATGTCTTCAGGTGTTTGATCATCGTTGCTTGCGTGGTTTTGCGGGCATAGGTTGGCACCGGACGATCCGAAACTCCACGGTCCGTCATCGTATTCTAGGACCAGAGTCTGATTTAGGAACGCTCGTGAACTTGAGCAAACTAAGATGGCTCGGACATGTATT